GGAAAGACCTGTACCTCTTGTAACAGCCCTAAAATTTAAAACTTCGAATACTTACGATATAAAGGTAATATTATCATTAAATCTCAAAACAGAGTGTACTAATCATAAGTGTTTGGGGTGTTATGCCACATCTGAGCTGGAGAACTCAAATGCACAGGCTAAACTATCTAAACATCCTCAAACAACGTCATTACATCATTATGGCACGCAAGCCGAATAGGAAACTAACTATCTAAGCCTCGGGTCCTCTACCGTGCTCCGGAGCTAATCATCTGTGCCTGAAAGCCAAATATATCTGTTCAGCGAATAATGCTGGTAACCCACTCCAACGCGTAAAAATACAATATAGGTATATATATATATATATATATATATATATATATATATATATATATATATATATATATATAGGAAAACCATTTTTAAGCCGAAAGATATATACTTAGGAGACTCTAGCTTTAAAATCGAGAATAGACTCAACAAGTAGGGACAAGCACATTCAACAGTTATAATCATGCTTATAAAGATACTAGCATATATCCTAAGGTCACAAGATTTATTTCACATCATTCATATCATTATTCAATCATTATCTCAACACATAAGCACACTTTGGTGGCACCACAGGACCAATCGCATGCCCATACATGAGGGTCAGCGCATATAGCGCTAACACAACCCCGCAGCACCCTGCCTCGTACCGCAGCACGAAGGGGTTGATCACAACCAACCGATGAACCGCAGCTCATCATAACGTTTGATCGCAACCAAACGGTGGACCACAGCCCAAAAAGTGTATTTCTGATCGCAACCAGATTATGAACCGCATCTCATGTATAACGTTTGATCGCAACCAAACTGTGGACCGTAGTCCTATATAATATTTATATACCTGACCGATCGCAACCAGCTTGGTTAACAACCGATGGTTCTCAACCGATCTAACTGCCCGTATAGCCAATTTGGTCGCAACCAAATTGGGGTATCATGCACACATAACACATAGCAAGCACATGCAACCCACATTAGCACATTGGGAAGGGGGAGAAATCGTATAAATAAACTTATGCGTGGTCATCCACATACTAGGAATATTCCTAAGGGGTTCATGCATCTTTCACCTAGGCCAACGGGATACCAATTCAACTAGCATGCAAGACTCTTTTATCCTATGAATGGCACGTGAAACATCAAACTAGACTCAGGCACGACAAACGGGGTTCGTTGGGATACCTCGGGGGTCGGGGAAACGTCAAACGGGGAAACCACCATCCCACATTGGGAATCTCCAGCGCGTGGCCGACGGGTGGAGGACCACCCGTCGGCTGCCCGCCGGCGGTGAACTGCTTGGCAGCGGGTGCCCGGTGGGCAGTCGCCTACCCGCCGGCTGCCCGCTGCCGGCGACGCCCATAGGAACAGCGGGTAGGTGGCGAGTTCCCTTTCCCCCCACTGACTCTCTTGCAATACTTTGGTCCCGGGATCTTTCGTGGAACCCGAAATCGTGTTTAGACACTTTTAAACACAAACGACGACACCACGTAGTCAAATAATGGATCAAAACCAAGAATCACATTTAAATACATCCTAACATGACTTCTAAACATAATTAACACCTGATCATGCGAAATCCCACCCAAGTATACCAAGAATATCACAATACAAAATTCACGATTTAACCTAGCGCTCTAATCATACTTTATCTTTAAGATCAAGAACATCAAGATTTATCAAGAACGACACACAATTATCAAGATCTTCTTATAATCATCAAGATTATCAAGATCAACACATAAGATCATCTCATCAATATCAAGATCACATCATACTCATCATAAAAGATTTATCAAGACACAAGCATAGAATTACATATCAAAAGGAGCCAAGGAAGAAGATTATAGCAAGGAAAATATGTTTTGTTGAGACATGGGTTACCTCTTAGCCTTAATTATAATCCTTGGCTATAAAGGTTCTTTCTCTAAGATCTCCTCTTATTGATTTCTCCTACGTTTGGTGATAGGGGAATTCTTGGGAATTCTTGTGTGGTGGAATCTATTGCGGTGTGAATTCTAGGTGCCTCCTATGTCCTTATATATATCTAAGAGTCCTAATTAGGATCTGAATGGTATGGGTTTACTAATTCTATTTCTTATAGGACTAAGGGTTTGGTTCAGGGATAAGGGTCCATGGTCTATGGTTGACCCTTCCTAATTAATCAAGGGAATTTAATTCTCTTTTAAGGGTAAGTTGTTAAATAATTAGTTTGGGTTTGAGGCCGTAACACGAGGTGTTACACCCTCCTCCCCCCCCCCCCCCACCCCCCCCCCCCCCTTACAAGAGGCTTCGTCCCCGAAGCTGGTGCGTGGATCCATTCTTTCACCCCTGGACGTCACGTATTTTGGCCTCCTGTTTAGGAAATGTGGCTCCACGTGTCGTTTTGCTGGGGGTAGAGTGGAGCTTGGTGAGGTGGTGTTTGGAAAGTTTGGGTCTATCTTTGTTTCCTGCTCCCGAGCTAGATGCCTCGCGTGTGCCCAATATGGCCTCGATTGCTGCCACTCTCCGATCTAATGCGTGCGTTGCGTGGATTAGGGACGAGAACCCTTCATCCATGATTTGGTCTTGCCGGGTGAGTTGCGCGAGGATACGCTCATTGACAGACCTTTCATATTGGCCTTCCGGGTTTCCTCTCTCTTGTGTGGGTGCAGGTGGGTTAGGCTCGCTATGTTCCTCCTGTTCCTCTTGTTCCTCTTGTTCCCCACATTCTTGCATTGCTCGTCTTAGTTTCTTGTTGGAGATTTCTGGCTGATCGACCAACTCTCGTCGTTCTTCTGTGGGCTTTAGACAAACCTCCTCGAGGGTGATGTATTGTCCCTCTCCGATATGGTAGATGTCGTTGTGGCGGAGGTTCTGGGGGTTAAAAATCATCCCGCTTACGGGTTTGATTTCCGTGTGGCTTAGGTCCACTCCTTTCTTTTCCATGATCCAAGTTAGGATCATCCCCTAGGGTAGACTAAACCGGTTGCTAGACTTGCAAAATTCCATGTGTTTTAGCATAAGGGCGGGTAGATTGAACTTGACCTTGTGTTTCAGAAAGTAGGCAAAGGTGCACTCTAAGCTCCCCACGTCTTTGCTCTTGTTCGTGGGCAACAAGCTGTCAGTTACAATCATGACTAACAACTTCTGTTCGGCAGTTAGCCATTTCCTGTTTGGCCGGGTGGCCGAGGTGAAGCCATCTTCCCTTCTTAGTAGGTACCCGAGGTAATCCTTGTACCCCGTGCCTTGGGTATCGATCCATGCCTTCCGGTCGTAGTCTAACACACCCGTGGTGGTCAGTTTCAGGAGTTTGGCCAAGCGGCCTTCGGAGAGCAATATTTCTTTGCCCCGGACCTTGGTGGTGATTTCCAACTTGTCACCCCGCTTGACGGCTACCAAGTGGCGATAGAATTCTTTCACCAACTCGGGGTACGTATATCCTTTAATTGTGAGATAGGTATCCAAAAGCCCTTGGAAATTAAGCATGTCAACCAATTCCGGAGAGAATTGGTCGGGTTCGAGGGCTTTACCTCCGATCACCGTGTAGTCAGCATTGTTTCATTCCAGGGTCCGGATCTCAATGGGCTTCTTTGGCATTGCGAGATTTTCCCAAGGTGGTGTTTTTCTGGAGACACTTTTCCTGGCGAGGCTCCGGCAAAAACCTCGGTGAAGCTCCGGCGAGGTTTTCCGGCGACGAGGCGGCGAAGCGGCTTGGTGTTTTGGGGTTGATAACAAGGCACGGCTAGCCTGGCAGAGTTAAAGGTTGCGTTGGCAGCGGGAGAGCGACGGGCGGCGTCCGGGTCGATGACAGCAGGCGTGTGGGGGGTGGCGTCGGTCGATTGCGGTGGCGGCCGTCGGCGGGAGCCGGGTGGCGATCGTCGGAGGGTTTGATGGCAGCGCGACGGTAAGTTGCGGAGGTGAGGGGGCGTCGGCGGTTTGTGGAGAGGAAGAGAGAGAGGGAGAGAGAGAATGTGTTGTAGGAGGAAGAAGGAGGGTTTTTTATTTGGGGGTTTTTGTGGGTTTTAGGGATTTAGGGGGGTTTAAGAAGGGAGTGTTCCCTTGAGGGTTCAAGAAACACTTATAGCTTAGTGGTTAAAACTTTGGTTTTGTAAGTGAGAGGTCCAAGGTTCTATTTCCATTGGTAGCATTAGTCTTCTTTGTTGTGCATCCTTTGGATCTTTTCTTATCTTCCTTTTGACCCAAAGTGGTAAGAGGTTTGGGGAATGTTTTAGTCCCTCTTTTCATGCTAATTTAATTGACTTTGTCCTTTATTCATAATAATTTCTAAGTAACTAAACTAAACAAGTGGTTTTACTACGAGGGTGGGTTACAGGGGTTCACTGATCATCCTAAGCAGAATTCTTCTCCTTGGTTTTCTTCCGATTGATTTGCGGGGTCCTCGTCTCCTAGGGCCACGTTTTCTTCGTCGAAGTTACCCTCGTTTTCAAGATCGGCCTGAGTGCGGCTCATGACGAATACTTTTCTGGGAGCACCGTAATTCCCTTGATTGTTTGCGCCCCCGTGTTGGCCCATAATTGTAGGGCGCGAGTTTGGGGTTGAGTGCACTGGAAGGACTTGTGTCCTTCTCCCCCGCAGTTGAAACATCGCCAGGGGTTCCCCTGGCAGTCCTTGCCTCTATGGTCCTTGTTGCACCTTTGGCAAAGGAATGGCCTCGCATTAGTTTCGTTGTTCCTCAGGGGTGGCCCTTGGCCAGCTGGGTTGCTTGGCCTTGTGTTAGTGTCGTTCCTTGTCCTTTTTACAGGTGGTGCCCCTCCTCCCGTGTTCCTTTTACGAATCTGTTCTTGGACTCCTCGTTGTAGTAGTTGGATTCGATAGAGGTTGGCGGCACTGGTGTAAGATTCGTTGAGGGTTCGGGGTCCGCTGACGATTAGGGCTTTTCGGGCTTCGAAATTGAGGCCTGACACAAACTTCTCTATCTTGGTCGTCTCTGTAGGGACCAATTCGGGTGTGAAACGGGCCAGTTCGAGGAACCGTCTATGGTACTCCATGACAGTGGCCATCCCTTGTTTTAAGTGGAGGAATTCCTCGTACATGGTCGCCCTTACTGTGCGGGATAGAATCGTTCTCATAGTCGTGTCTTTAGGCTTTCCCAGTTGAATCCCGGTTCTTGTCTGTAAGTGGGTCTCTCGTGGATCCACCAAAGGTCGGCCTCGTGTACGAAGTAGAACGAGACTATTTCTACGTGGCGCTCCTCTGGGCATTCCACTAACCCGAGGATTTGTCGAAGGTTCGAATCCATTCTTCGAGGATCGTGGGGACCTCTTCCCCTGAGAAAGGTTGAGAAAGAAGAGAAAAGCAAGTCACTGTGACTCAACAGAAAGAAAGAAAGAAAGCGAGTCATTGGGACTCTAAAGAAAGCGAGTCAATGTGACTTTAGAGAAAGTGAAGAAAAGCGAGTCATTGTGACTCTAAGAAACCTCCATAGAAAAAGTATTTCTTGTTAAGAGTGAGAGTGTATATATATCTATATATATATATATACTTATACTAAAGCATCATGTTCATCTTATTGCATGATTAAATGATTTGCACGTGTTGCATGAAAGTATGATAAGAAGCATGACTTTATTTTGTCAATTATTGAGTTATATGATAGCATGAGATTGCTTATTGAGTTATATGATAGCATGAGATTGCCTATTGAGTTATATGATAGCATGAGATTGCTTATTGAGTTATATGATAGCATGAGATTGCTTATGGAGTTATATGATAGCATGAGATTGCTTATTGAGTTATATGATAGCATGAGATTGCTTATTGAGTTATATGATAGCATGAGATTGCTTATTGAGTTATATGATATCATGAGATTACCTATTGAGTTATATGATAACATGAGATTGCTTAATGAGTTATATGATAACATGAGATTGCTTATTGAGTTATATGATAGCATGAGATTGCTTAATGAGTTATATGATAGCATGAGATTGCTTATTGAGTTATATGATAGCATGAGATTGCTTATTGAGTTATATGATAGCATGAGATTGCTTATTGAGTTATATTGATATCATGAGTTTACTTATTGAAATATATGATGATATGGAATTATTGTTAAGATATATGTTAGCATGAGATTGCTTGTTAAAGGTTAAGTATATTGTTAACTATCAATTTGAGTATGATTAGTGTATATCGCCATGATAAGATAAGTATGTGAAAGCATGAGATTGTTGATGAGTTAAATGTTTGAGAAAGTATGCTTATATGATAATTAGTTTGTAAGCATATAGAAACCCTGTTGAGCATGTTGCCTAAGTGATTGAGAATACTTGATCTAACTGAGTGAAACAAATGTTTTCCAAAAGTATATACTGTAGTATCTTACAGGGTTGAGTGACATTATACTTAGGTTCGTGCTAGCGGGTTGTTTTCTACTTGTTGTTTGTTAACCCCTTTCAGGTGGGCCCAGTGTTTGAGCGTGCACGAGCTAGTTTAGTGCGTAGTTTTTGAGTTGTTAGATTCTAGTGTAGAATCTTTTGAACTTGGATGTTTAGATACTACTTAATCTTTTGTTGGTGTTGAACACCGGGGGTTTGTTCCCCAAGTTTGGTTGTACTTTATTTTTGAGCTTGACTCCAGTTAGATTTCTTTTGTAGCATGTGCAGTCACCGTGGGTGGTGACTGTGGCGGTGACACTTCTTAAAGTTGTTTAGTAAGTGTAATATGCTTGTTTAGTATCCATTTCTATGCTAAGTTTTGTTAATAAGGTTTAAGAAAAGTGGGGTGCTACAAACTCCCATGCTATTTTCAACCCTATTATAGTCTAAATTTTACTTCATGCTCTCATGAAAGTTGTATATCATTGATTTATCTCGTCAATAACACTTGAATTATTCAATTTGGACACTTCTACATTGAAATATGGCAAAAATATAAAAATGACACCTGACAAACTCTGTGAGGCGCGGTAGCAGGTGGTAGAGGCATCCGTTCCAAAAATCAGATTTTCTCTTTTCTTCCTATTTTAGGTCCTCAGGTCATGCCGTGGTGTTTCCAACTCAATTTCTATCCCATATTAGGTCTCGATGTCTACCATAATGCATCTTTGTGGCAATGTAACGTCAAAACACGTTAATTGAGCACCAATTTTCTCAATTTTACAACCAATGCTTCTAAATCACCTAAGTGAAACAAAGGAATCAAATAAGCACATACTTAACTTCATATTAGCACAAAACCATATGAGTTTATGTCAAATAAATATATAAAAATAGTAAGAATTAACACTCATAAAGGGGGCTACTAGTGTTAGTCCTGAACATTCGACGCACTCGAGTTTAGCTTTTTAAGCTCATTTTGGGATTTGATTTGCTCATTTTGGGCATTAGCCGGGTTGGCCGAGTCTAGCTTTTGCTCGATTCGAGATGTGGCGTTGTGGCTTACCATGGAGGGATGTGGTTAAATGGTTAATGCCCACCTACTTATCACAAATTGGTTTAAAGTAGGATATGGCAACCGGATAGCCAAAGAACTCTGTGGTTAAGCGTGATTGACTTACACCAGTCACAAGATGGGTGACCCACTAGGAAGTAAGCATAGTACAGCACTGAGATCCATCAATTGGTATCAGAGTTGAGGTTATGGGATCGAATCGATGGCGAGGCGAAAGCCGAGTCCAGCCCCGGATGGGATGTGGGCGCAAGTCCAGGCGCGAAAGCTAAGGACCGAGTCAGGCATGTTGCGCAACTGGGCTTGGTGATCAAAGGTTGCGGCAGGTGCTGGGAGGGAGATTGCTAGGCGTCGGTCGAGTTCAGCCCCTACTCGATTCGAGACATGGCGCTGTGACAACCAAATAGCCAAAGAGCTCT